CCCCAAAACCCCAAAACCCCAAAACCCCATATAAAGAGAGGGACATTGAAGGATAAATTAACACAATTAAAATTCTGTTTTCATACAGGCTAAAGAGAATGAAGAATATGAATTATAGGAACACAAAGAGATACCTTAGAAGAGAGATTGATATATGGAATAAAGAACTCGAGCTATTGAACTCCTTCAACTTTGCTACTCCTAACAATGTAAGTTAATAGTGATTGATAGAGTTAAAGCATTAATACCTGAGAATAAATTTCTCTTTGTTTATCCGAATACACTAGAGCTTATTGAAAATTTTGACTTCATATTACTGTCAACATGTTTAAATACTCTTAGGCTAGCTTCTATATTAAAAACATTAGACTCAAGTTTCATATATTTTATGATCTTATAAATATGATTCCTATAGAGAAAGCTCAATCCATACAAGCACGTAGTTTATGGGTGAGATGGAAACCAGTTTGCCAAGCTAAATCAGAAAAGAAATAAAGAAAGGCTTACAACAGATAGATGGCCAGAGAAGGACCCATCTCTAAAGAAGATTAAAGGAGACCATATCTTGTTATCAAATAGAGGGCTGATTCGCCTCTCTAAATTTCTTTGAGATTTTAAGAGCAATCTCACATTTATCAAAATGGTTATTTCAAAGAAAAAGATAGGAAGGATCATCGTAATGGCCTCCAAATTTATGGTGCTCTCTTTTAGTCAATGAAGAATTGAAGTTGGAGATCTTTCCATACCAGATAATATCCAATTTGGCACTAGAACATTATCTTTTAATGAAACTGGGCACCAGAATAATAGCAACTGGGATCAGAACTATGATGAAGTAGAGAGTTTACTCAAAGCCATCTCTGAATGAAAACTGAAGAACTCTCTTAGTTGGATCAACCTCGATCTCACTCCTCTTACAAAGTATGACGCATCCCAATTATTAAAGAAATATTATCTCAGAGATATTGTGGTTAATTCAAGAACTCCTCAGGTGAAATCAAATTTTGAAATTTGCATTAAATCTTACTTTGGCCTTGGGTGTACAATCCAATAATAAAAGTAGGATTTCCTATTCAATATTAGTCAGACATCCTGGGGTTTTGGGGTTTTGGGGTTTTGGGGTTTTGGGG